GTAGCTTTCCTAGACATAGTGTTACTTATTGGGATATATACCCACCTGTTGCATGATGGGTAAAATACTGTAATGTTATGATATGATCTGATAATATTTATCGAAATAAACAACATCTAGTAAAGTAGTAACGAAAAATTTAACCTGGTTAAAGCTGATTCATTTATGCGCATGGCTGAAGACTATATAGTCTGGTTTGGGTCTCTGGGTCTACTTGCATGAACTTGCAGGTTCGAATCTATGTGCTGTAATCAAGTTGTACTTGTACGTAATAGGTTTCAATTTCAACTGGAGGCAACATGTTAATGTGTTTGATGTTATTTCTTTCCAGTACACAACAAACATACAACACTAGTGACATCAAGTAAGGCCCTGTGGTGTGCGTTAAAGTTTATATCTCATTCTCACTTATTTTCTTTTGTCTGTCTTCTTTCTTCAGTACATGTATCGTGTTGATCAGATTCCGAGAACGCTGTGCACTTTTTTTTAACAGTCTGTCTGTGTTTTTTTGTATCATTTCTAAATGTTATCATTTCATGGCAATTAACTTTCACATCTCTCAGCCTTCTATCAGACTAAATCCAGCAATACATTTATATGTTCTGCAGTTCTTCATTTTTGTCAACTAATCATCTACTTCTGTCTACTGTAAATTTAATTGATTGATACATTTATGTTTGTAGTCTGTTGATCTATATAGTAGTATGTACCATACCAAATTTCTGTACATTTGGTTCTGGTTGAGTTTCAGCATCTTTGGATCATAGAATCTGTGAAAAAGCATGCATGATTTTATAAACTGATTTTTTAAATACCTCATCCACCTCATCTATATGTGTTCCTGTATTTTTCGACTCTTTTTAAATTTATATGTAAAGTGTCTATAACAAACTTTGATCGTGGGACATTTCATACTCCCTATTTTAAGCATGTTCTGATTTCAAAACCTTATAACTTAGCTGTTGCGCAACAAAGTCAATCAGGTTTTGACACGCATACTGCTTAAAACTCGGCTAAATTTAACAGATAATACAACTTCCAAAGATGGTCTTTGGCCTACTTTTTTGCCAAATGCATGTTTTTATTTAGTGAATAATGTGCTTGCTACTATTGATCTCCAACCATACCATACAGTTAGGTCTGAGTCTATTGGTCTGATTACACATGACTTAATAAGTTAAAAGTAGGTAGTACTAAGTGATCATTTCAAATAGATAAAAATACAGAACTACAATTCATTTATTTGATTATTAATTTTGTTTTGTAAATGTATTTCTTTCACACTTTTTTCAGATTAACCACAGCTGTGTTTTTTTCAAACAAAATGTACGTTCCGCCATTGTTGCATGTTTTATCAGTGTTTCTAGGTGTTGGTGATGTCACATACAATTTCTGTCTCTAAACTGCAATACTTGTTTCAACAGCTGTGTTACTGGGAGTTGGGCTGATCATGCTGAAATCACAACTGAAACGGATCCATTCAAAGAATACGTGTTGGCATTATACTGGTCTGCTGCCACTATGTCTAGCACTGGATATGGGGATATCAGTGCACACACGACTGTTGGCCGCTCTATAGCTCTGGTTGCTATGTTGGTTGGGTTGCTACTCTATGGATATTGTCTTTCATCAATTGCTGCCACATTAGCTAATGCTGATGCACCAAGGTATGATTCCTAAAATTGATTTACCTACAAGTACTATACTATGAGGTCATGTATGAAGGCTGTATGGCGATCGTATCGACCTACATCTATCATAGATCGATGTAAGCCTATACTACCTTAGTACATATTTGTGATATTTTCATAATAAGTTTATTATTATACATCTAAGGCCAGATCTTTATTATCCCTTGTTTTGCGAACCCGCCGAATAAACAGGAGCCGAAAATGAAATAAAAATATAATTTTATTTCAGCGTAATTTCTCGCACCCGCAGACTTGTAAGTGCAAAAAATGCTAAAAAAATATTATTTTTATCCTCATTTTTTTACTGCCCGCCGCATAACAAATTCAAGTTGCATTTTCGTGGGAGTATCATGATCAAAGTACCGAAGTCTCGCGCAGATGAGAAACAAGGTTATACATGGAATAAAATTTTATTTCATTTCTTCTCTCCGATCAATGATCTTACTTACAATTCTTTGAGAATCACACAAATCTAATGGAAAAAAAGAATTAATTTTTTTTTTCCCGCCCTCCTCAAAAAAATTGCCTTATAAAAACTCGCGAAACAAGGAATAAAAAAAGGTCTGGCCTATTAGTCATATATAAAGTAAGTGAAATATTACAACCTGAAATTTACTCAATTCATGCCTGCATGAACGTTTTTGTTCTGTAATGTGATTTTATGTGAAGATGATGTAAATATGACATCAGAAACATTTGTACAGACGTTTACAGATGTATTGTTATAATAATAAAATGGATATTGGATATTCACTACATTAATCTGTACCTGTTCTTCAAATAGGGTTGGTTTTCAAGAGAAACTTTTTGCTGTACAAGAGTTCATGCGAGATCACAACCTGGGAACTGACTTACAACAACGTGTCATCAACTATTTGAGTCTTCTCTTCCGAAGACACAGGTACATATGTTCATTTTGACTTCAGATTAAATTTTAATTTATTTGTTACAAAATTATGATAATAACAATAATAGGCTTAATTACATAACTGAATCATCTGTGGATGCAGTAAAAATATACAAAATTAAATTCTAAAGCAGAAACAACAAATACCAACTTGTATAACAATACGCACCGTTTTTTTTTTCAGAGGGGAAACGATGCCCGGTGGTTTGAGATTAATGCATGATATGCCTATCGCTTTGCAGCAAGACATTGCCTTTGAAGATGCTCAGGCAACCCTTGGATGTGTTCCTCTTTTCAAGGATTGTGATTCTAGCTTTATCCGTATGCTGTCTCTTAAAACACATGCTTATCTTTTTACACCTGGGGACATCATAGTTTACCAAGGTGACATGGGACGTGAAATGTATTTCATCAGACGTGGAACCTGTGAGGTATAGTATTTTTTACGCAAGTATGTGTTTACATCTAAAATTAAGGTTTGCAACTACAGCTTATTAAATACAAACTAGTTTTATACCACCGACAATAGACAAATTCTTATTTATATTGTAATACAATATATCATACCATTCATGTTTATATCAATTGTTTGCTGCCAGGTGCTCTCTGCAGACATGAGTCGGGTAAACAGTATCATTGGACCTGGACAGTACTTCGGCGAAGTTGGTTTGATCTTTGGAGACTATCGTACTGCTACAGTTCGGGCATCATCATATTGTGAACTGTTGATGTTACAAAGATCAGACTTGGATGAAGTTCTCACACATTTTCCACTCATTGCAAAGTAAGTATATGTAACCGTTACAGACATGTGTCTTAATTGTGGCCTTGTCGCGAAAATAACCATTACTATATTGTCTATGTTGTACGCACACTAGATTTTGAATCTTCAAAGTATATTTGTTCAATATCTAATATGATGTAGGTCTTTAATAGCAAGATATATCAGCGTGATGAAATATTAGACCTATTTTGTCTTAACTGCACGCGCACTGGAATTGAGTCCCAAGCAACGATAACAACACACGCTAAAAACGCAAAGGCTCATGGGTAGATGCTTGTTTGTAAACAATGACACGCTATGGCCATCTGACGCATGCGCAGGTGACGACTGCCCCTCTTTAATTGTTTTCCCGCTGGCTTGTTCCAAATGAGTAACAATTGTATTACCACAAGTAAAGAATGTGACCACAGATATTTATGGAGTTGTACACGATACATATAATATAATAAAAACATAAATCCCCCCAAAAATAAAATTTTGTTTGAGATATAAAATAGCACATAGCAAAAGTGTAATTGTATTGAACATCCTAAACAAAGGTTAATTGGCAGTGTACTGAAACTGGCCACCAGAAGCATAGTGGTGGTCACATTGAACTCATGATCACATTGAATTGCCATAATGCCATTATGATAGGAAGATGGTCACACAGCCCTGTCACATAGTACCGAACTAGGATATGATCTCTGTGGCAAAATACACTATATGTCAGCACTTGCAAATTGCACATAAGAAAAAAGGCCAGGAGAGACAACAGTGACATTCCATGTCCGGAACTGTCGCCAGACACACAAATATTTTTTTTAAATTTCTACCACACACAGCACATTCAATTTATGTCTGTTCTTTACTGTGTACTTCCCTATGTAGGCAATTTAAAGAAGCTGCAGAAAACAAACAACATTTGGTGGAACTTCAGAATGCCTCTAAAGAAAACGAAGACCCTCAGGACAAACCCAAAAGTAAGAACTTTTAAATTAATAATTCTATATAAACTTCTCAATCTTCAGACAGTGTACGATTTACAGTTTACTTTCACCCAGTATCATTACAGTATCATGATATGAATGAATTAGTAAGTATGTTTATTTATTTATTTATTTATTGTAGCTGAAAGTGAAAGATCAACTCAGGAGTTTCTTCAAACTGATTATCACAAACACGTAGAGGAGTCTGTCAAGCTGTTTGACAGGTCAGTGATGAAAAATAAAATAAAAATACAATGTACTGCTCTATAAATATTATAGTTGTCAAGGATACAAGACTTTTACAGCAAGTCTCAGAAGTGTTGGGGCAACCAATTTGCAAACTAGCTAGTGAATTGGCTAACTGCTTGGGTTTTGACGCGACCTCGCAAATTGGCTGCCCGGTACTTTTGAGACTTGCTGTAAAATAGCATGTATCCATCATGAACTACACAGTAATACTTAATAGACTGGATTATTATTACTTTTTCACAGTTCTTCAGATGACTATAGAGGACCCTTCAAGAGTCTTAGTATTGTTTCATATCTCTTCTCCTTCCTGCTAATGAAGTAAGTAACTTATTGGTGCTTGTTGTTAGCCTTGTGAGATTTTCTGCCTTCATTATTGAGCTGTTCAGGGCTTATTACATGTACTATACCAACAGTGGTTCTTGTTGGCTACTGTACCTGCAGTTAGCTTTTCAGGCTAACTTGTTGAGTTGCTCAGGACCAGTACTGAGTGGTTCTTAAAAATGGAAATTATGAATGTGGCTGCTGTGTGTCCGTTTGATATTATTTCTCGAACATATGCTTTGTTTGAACTTGTTCAGTTTAATTGGTGCAAAGAAAGTATATATTCTATAGCTAAATATCTGCCATTCCTGATGATATTTTATGTTAATTATTTTACTTGTAGACGATGTTTTCTACCAAGTGGTAAATGGTTTCAGAAATGGGAGATAGTACGAGTTGGTGTTGCTATATTGCTGGTATTTACTGTCAGTTTGCAGGCGGCATTTTTACATCTCGATATACCATTATGGATTGTTAATTATTTATTAGATCTTATCTGTTACATTGACATG